GATATAGATATATATATATAAATTTTTTTAAAGGTAATGATGACTTGTCCTAGATAATCTGGCTCAGTGGATAAAACATTAGCCCAAAGACCGAAGGGTCCTGGGTTTGATTCCAATCAAGAGCATGTACCTTGGTTGCAGGCTCAATCCCTGATCCTGGTCAGGGCATGTGTGGAATGCAACCAATCAATGTGTCTCTCTGCCTGTCTCTCCCCCTCCCTTAGACTCTCTCTAAAAAAATCAATGGAAAAATATTCTAGGGTGAGGATTAACAACAACAACAAAAAAGATAATGACTCAATTACTTGTGCCCAACTGATAAAACAGCAGAGGAAGCCAAGTTGGAAAAAAAAGAGCTATAATTTTCCTAGGTGTAACCTTACAATCTGTAATTTAAAAATTATTTTCATGAAATGGAGGAAAACAATAAAATGTCATTATAACAGTAGTAAGAATATAAGTGTCTTGGGGTGGTAAATACACCATACAATATACGGATGATAAGTTGTAGAATTGTACACCTAAAACCTATATAATTTTATTAATTAATGTCAGCCCAATAAATTCAATTTTAAATAAAATAAGCATCTACCTGGATCATCCTTTGCTTCATCATCTGCACTGACTCCTCTTTCAATTTCAAATATTTCAAACAAATCATTTGAAGGATGCCGTGGAACTGTAAGAGAGAGAGAGGTTTTGAGAAAAGGGCAATGCCTTTCACAAGGAGCAGGGGAGAAAGACCTGGGCATCCACTCATCTGGAAGAACCCAAAACTTTTCATTACACTTCACATGAACATCCAGGAAGTTTGTTCTGCAGTGATGTATACAGTAACATTTATCTGTGTACAAATAAAAACTGGTTTTCACAAGTTTTTAAATTTCAACATAGAAACACATTAAAAGGTTTTCATCTGGAAAACACATTTTAAAAGAGCTACCAATTTCGAGTAAAATATTCATCTCCATGAAATTCAAAATTGTGCCTCTATAAAAGATACACTGTGAACACTGGGTTGAGGATGTTTTGATGGAAATGCCTGCCACTGGGGTGAGTGGTTTGGTTTTCTTACCACAGCACCCACTCCCCTCCACGAGCTCTGCACACTGGTGCAGGCTCATCTGGCTTTCTTACCAGGGCTGGCCTTGCTGAGGCAGGGGCCCTGGCTCCTTTAAGAGCAAATCCAAAGGCCTTGGTGCAGCATTCACAGCTCCCTCTCCCCCTCACCCGACCCCACAGTGCCCAAACATGCCATTCATTTTCAGTCTCTGACTCTGTGGAGAGCTTGGGAGGTTCTTCCTGCTAATTAACCTGCCAAACTTTCTTCTTCCTTCATTGCCCGTGTAAATATCTTCCATCATTGCCCAGTGTAAATATCACCGCCTGGGTGAAAGCTTTCATGGCCTGGGCAAATTAAATTCCCCACCCTGCCCCCCTGCTGTAGTTCAGACTCCTGTTTTTACACCTCTATTACATTTTTTCATAGACTTGCAGTTATTTACACACACACACACACACACACACACACACACACACACGTGTGTGTCTGTCCCTCTGCTAGTCTCTGAGGTCCTGGAGGACATCAGTCATGTCTTATTCCCGCGGCATTTCCGGGGCCTGACCTGGTGACAGGCACTCAGTGTTTACTGAACAAATGTGAAGATCTTGTCAAGAAACCCATGCACTCTGTCAACCCTTTTCCTCACTGAAACAAGTGGGTCAGAGCTTAAATATCCACTTTTAAAAACATGGATTCATTTAAGCAATTAGTTGCTTGTTCTTTTAACGTGTATTTGATTGCCACCCATATGCCAAGCACTGTGGGAGGCCAAGCAGACAGGGAGAAAGGGGTGGGCCAGTTCAACAAGGACCTGGCCCTCATGGAGCCTGCACTCGAATGAGAGAGGCAGACAAACTCGAAGACCAATGAATAATTCTCAGTGTTGAGAAGGGCTAGGAAGGAAAACACTCGATGATGTCATGGAGAGTGACAGGTGGGAAAGGGAGTGGGAATGGGGGTGGTGGTGGAGGGGAATTCTTGGCCAAAGACCAGAGAATACTCCCTGTTCTTTGACAGAATTTAAATTAATTAGCTCTATTTTTATAAGGCAGGGAGTGAAAGATGTAGAACACCAAAGAACACACAGTAGTCAAAAGGGTTCTTTTTTGACAATGTTCCTATTATTTTTAGCAAGAATTTTAAAAATTAATAATCTCATAATATTTACACTAATTTTCTAAAAGCTTATTGCTTTGATTTTTTGCCCTGTTTCAAAAGCCAGACAGTAAAGCTGCTCACCTTCCGCCTCACACACTCACATATGAATAAAGAAGAGAAGCTAGTTCACAGACAAGCTCTTAGGGATATTACCTGATCACAGGTGCTCTGGGGTGAGGCAAATGCCCGCCCTCTTTCACACCCAGATGACTGACAGCAACGACATCCAATTATAGTTTTCCTTTCCTTGTTGAGGCTCTGAGAAGGAGACTGTCTACTAGAAATACTACAAAATTGTAGGCAATCACACTTCATTTCTCATGACAGAGAAAGTTAGAAAAACTCTATTAGGACCATCATTTCTTTGTTCCCTTAATCTTGTAACTTATACAAATTATCTCTGCATTGGAATAGCTCCAATCTTCTTAAGCCATATTTTAGGGGCATTCTGCTAGCTTGTCAGCTCCCTTTTTTCCAGATGAAGGACTGTCAGATGGCAAGAAGTCGAGGTGGATGGGGGAGGACCGCTCCAAGGTTTCCTGGTGCAGGAGGACTGCTTTACAAAGGGGGATCAAGGAGGTCCTCTCTGAGGAAGCACCCTTCGCATGGAGAGAGGAAGAACATGGAACCTTCCAAGCAAAGTGTTGGAGTAGGAGAAGAGGGAGCATTTCAGGCCTCAAGTACAAAGAAAGCGCTAGAACAGTTGGAGCAAGGCGTTCGCAGTGGCTAGAGGATGCTGAGAGACAGAGAAAGCGGCAGAAGAGAAAGGAAAGGCCCAGATCACACATTTGGAAAACAGCAACCCAGAGAATTAGTCATCCAACAACTTGCTCAATGTCAGATGCTCCATTAGTATCTTAAGCACTGGGTTTCCAGGAGCTATTCAATTCTGCGGCGGCTGATCACACACACCTTTATTTTCATTCACTGGGAAACGTTCCAAGGAATCTGGAGACCTTAAGTGCCCGGCAGCTATCAGTTCTTCCCATGGCGTGCGCTCTGCTCTGTAACTCTGCCACAGTATTCAACCCTCCTTCCTCACACACCGCAGTCTGGACTGCTAACAGCGTCCCACTGCTGTGCCAAGAGAAGGCACACCACCCATTTCATTCCCTGGTATAGTTTACCGTTTATGTGAAAACACTAAGGGAAACAAGCAGTGAGGGGAAAATCAAGCAGTAGGATCTCAACTACGTACAAGAGAAAGGAGGGAACAAACCAAAAATTTGGACTAGAAAAAAAATGGTAAACAATACACCCATAGGCTAATCGTGGTGGTCTGATTATTGGAAAGAAAAGAGATATTTTCTCACTTGTTGGTTTGCAATTCTAAATTTTTAAGGTTGTTTATAAAATGAATTTCTACTTTGAAAAAAACTTACCTAAAACATTGAAAGGAAGGAGACGTCTATCAGAACACACACACAGACCTGGCCCCATGGCAACTATGTCTGTTACTTGTGTTTTGTCTGCTCAGAGGACTCTGAACAGAGTCTTCATACCTGTTGTTGAATATGAGGCTATGAAATAGAAATGCATTTGTGTAATCACTGCAGAAAATGATAATTAAAATAAATGACTAGCCATGCCCCAAAGCACAAAGTATAACCAGGAGAGATGCGAATACATGATTTTCCTAATTATCCCTCCCTGCATCATATTTGGGCTAACAGTCAACTGAAATATATATAAACAAATATCAACTCTTCTCTGCAGCTGAACCATTCATTCTCAAAACTAGAATGGTATAATTTTAGAGGTAGAAAAGGATAAGAGAAATCCAACAATGCCATTCCTCTAGCATCCTTTCGTCCATCCTCCCCCCTCTATTCCATCCGCATGCTAATGCAATCAATCAAGGAAGTGACCATCCACTGGGTCCCCAGTGCTGGGCTAAGAGCTTGTTGTGAAGCAAAGAGCATGCTTTTGCTTTCAGAGGATCTATGGTCCAGATGTGAAGACACATCTAACCATTTCCCCAGGTAATGAGTGCTTTAAAAGTGAGGTAGAGGAAGCTTTGTGAGCATGGGGGTGAGGAAAAGGGGGGATAGCAGGTGGAGGACGGATGCGTGAACACCTCTGAGAGGTGATGCCTCTACCGGGGCATGAAGGATGAGTTCCTGTGAGCTGGCACCCTAAAGAATGAAGGGGTGTGGGACCGAATGCTCATTAGAACTGGAGTGCTCACAGGGGAAGAAGGGTACCACATGAATGAAGCTGGAGATGCAGGCAGACTGTGCAGGGCCTTTTAAAGCTCCGTAAAGATTTTGGACTGTATTCTGGTAGAAACCGGGAGCCTCTGGAAGGCTTTAACACAGGAGTGCCAAGATGAGGTCCACCATTCTGGCTGCAGCATGTGGAACGCACAGGGGGAGAGGATGTCAGAGGGCAGTTAAGACCAACATTAACTAAAGAATTCATCTTAAAAATGTTCCCTCAACATTTTCCTTCCATTGGTCAATGTTCCACCTACACAAAATACCCCATGCCCATTGCTTCTTACAACCTTCTGTTTGAACTAAAAGAAAGGAGGTGTCCAGGCACGGGAGGAAGGAGCCAGGTGGATAAAGACCTGGCGGCACGGGGTTTAGGGGCCCAGGATGCTTCCCTAACGCCTGGGGGGCCCTGGGGCCTGTGAGGATGGGCCACACAAATTAGCAGGACACTTCTTAAAAAGAAAGTCTGACCTAGTGTTTCCTATTAAACATATTTTCCCCATGAATATGATAATTTTAATATATAACCCAAGTTCATAAATGAGGTCTCCCAGAGTCATTTTGTATATTTTACCCAAAAAGCACTAAGAGTAAGCACAGTGGAGTAAGTGTAAATATTATCACACACACCTCCCATGGCCAGCCCTCTCCCAAAGGGTAACTACAACAAAGTGTAAACAATAGTTAGTAAAGGTAGGTTTGCAAATTCTGTTTAGTGCTTGGGTGGCTCCCCTGACATGACCCAGGCTGCTTCTGGCATTTGTTGAACTAAAAGTTTCAAGATAACAATGTCTTAAATTCTACGCTTGGAGGTTTAGTTCATTGAAGGAGAATGGCGCACACAGAACTTTTCTAATGTTCTGAAGGCTCGTTCTGGTGGGAAAACCTGGGGAGTTTTAAAGACTACAGTGTGGGGGTGAATGACAAGGATTTTATGGGACAGCCCCTCGCTTCCCCTCTCCTTCCCTCTCTTCTCCTCCCCTCCCCTTTCCTCTTCTTCTCCCTTCTCCTCTCCTGCCTCACCTCACCTCTCTCTCCCCCAACCCCTTCCCCCCATCTCAATCTGCATTACAGTTTTAAATGACCAGTGAGAAGCAAACAAAAGGATTGGGAACAAGTTTCTAAAATTTCCTTAACCACTTTAGAGAAAATTCTTTGCTACCTCCTGATCACAAGGAAAAAAGGAGAGGGTTGCTGGGCTCCACAGAAATAAGTTCTTGTTTGCCAGAGCTTTCATGCCAC